AAAAAACTGGGGAGAAATTTTTCAAGGAAAAAATTTGTACTATTCAGGTCTAAAGTGCTATTGCTGAAAAAACATTGTTTTCAAAGGTGATTGTTTCATATTTAGCAGTTTGCTCTAAAATAGCACATGTACTCATTCAAATTATTAAAAAGGGATGAATCCATGAATAGCTAACACTTAAGAGGGTTTTTAATTAGGGGCTCTGTCCTGAAGAAGAGATTCTAGCAAGCTCGAAGGAAAAGGAGAATATCAGTGCAACAGTAGTCCCTGGATACCAGACAGTTTTTAGTAAATATACAATGTGCTAGCTAAACATAGTTGACAGGTAATACGAGGGAAAGGAAATAAAATTACACAAATGAAATGAAATCAAGCGTACAAATGAACCTTACTTTGCTGTATTGTAAGACTTTATGAAAAACATCAGTTGTGGTGCCGATTAATCCAACTCCTATTGTGTCAAGGATCATACGCTTGCTTCTCTGGATCACAGCATCTGTAAGATTGCTGCTGGTCAAACCATGGATCACTGAAGCAAAACTGCCAGTTACAGTCTGAAAATATATTAAAGGAAAATGCTACCTTTAGTAATGTACATTAATAGCAGGCAATATATCTTTAGCACATCTTCACATGTAAGTCAGTAAGGAAACATACAGAATAACAACAATTTTCAGGTGCCTGTAGGCAAAGAATTTCAAGGTACCATATGTACCTCCCCACCCCCCAAAAAATAAAAGGCTGATAACGTGAGGTTAATGCATTTATTTAAAAAAATAAAAATAAAAGGCATATAATCATATTTGACAACTCAATGAATAAAGGTATGAGCATATTACATTTCAACGTGTGAGTATAATCATTGTATGCAGCTCTGTAAACATAATTTTAGAAGTGCTTAGGGTGACTGGGTGGGTATAAGGTTTTAGAGGGGTTAATGTCAGTGTTAGATTACATAGGTTTAGGGTTAAAATGATTACAATTTTAAGATGAGTTATATTTGTGATATATGGGGTGTTTATGATTCTTGGGATTAGTGTTAGAGTTGGGTTAATTGTGGTACATTGGGTATTTTGTTTTTAAGAGGAGTTGAAGGAACATTTTACCATTAGGAATACAAACATGTATTCCTTACATTAGATAGTTTCCTCCATTATTTAGATTATTAAAATTAAATACATAGATCTAATTTACCTGTTAATGCACGGCTGTGCATCAGTCAGCATTCCTCATAAAGATACATTGACATTTCTATGGAATACATTCAGTGTCTCCCTACAGAGCAAGGAAATACTGAACGTCAGTCCTGCACAGATTGCAGGAACCCGCACCAGGAAGTCCTTCTAGTGGCTGTTCGAATGACAAGAACTAAGTTGTAAAGTTTGTGGTGCTTAGAGTGTCCCTTTAAATTTAGGATTAAGGTAAAGGGTTTTGTTTCAAATACTTTCATCTAGGACAATAATTCAAGGCATATGCCATGCGAAAGGCTGTTAGTGGGCAGGTGGGAAGTGATCCTTTCCTTTTCCTGTCCAACCAAACACACAGACACTGGGGTAGCTTGGACAGAACTGAGTTTTACACCATCTGTAACTTTTCTACAATTCCATTATCAAGCTTTGGAAACTGAATATGCTACAGAAAACAATGGCTAAGACGGCTGGTATTTATCTCTCTACACTAGAACGGATAATCTCCAAAAATGCACATTCTTTGTGTTGAGCCACCCATGCATGAAGACTACAGCATTTGGTGTAGATACAAAACACGTTCAGTTTGTTAGGCATAGAGTATGTGTACACACACACACTCACACACACACACACACACACACACACTCTCTCTCTCGTGTATAACGGTGGGATTTTTGTCTAGTTTTGTTTGGTGTATGCCATTGTGCAAAGGATAACATGGGTACATTTGACTTATGCTTGTACTTTCATGTTAAAATCTGGTATGTGTGCATTTTGTAATTGGGAAGCAAATATTGTATATTTTATTTGTGAACAACCCTGTCTGTCTCATTCTTTCTTGTCTTATTTCCAAACTCTATCTCTATAATATAAACATTTGTATTCCTTCTCATTGAATAAACTAGTTTTATAATGCATTTTGCAAATATAGTGCACAGATATGTTGGTGGGGGGAAAATACAATTAATTTGTTCATATGAGTGCACACCTTCACATTAAAAAAAAATCATTTTCTTTTAACTTTTTTTCCCCACCTTTTCAATTTATCATGCAATACATTATAGAGCTGCTAAAATAAATATATTTATATATTTCTTTTACCAGCTCTATAATATATATCCCCAGTCCAGCATTGGTGATTGCTGATCTTTACAGTAAGGAATATATACAATAAATTAGACATGCATGTTAATGATTTTAAATCCATAAAGTACCTTAGAAAGCATGCTTCTTCTCAGAAAACACAGGAGGATGTTTCAATGTCTGAATCCCTTACACTCACTTTTTAGGTCATCCAATTCACTTTATAGTCATGCACCGTGTTAACACCAGTGGCCCTCCCATTTGTTTGTTCCTTTTTTGGGGAATAACTGCAATTTCATCACTTATCAATTCAAAGAAAAGGCTTACAATTAAACATATTAGGTATAACTGCAAATAGGAAATGTGACTGGCTTTTTCTTCTGTAATATACATACATTATTTTAAAAATGTAAATGCAGAGCTGATGTTTTTAGTACCAGATTTTCCATTTTATTTCATTAACCCCTTTACTATGACCTTTTTCACATTCATGGTTGAGTACTAATTTGGAATTTGAATTTTGTGAGATTTATTTGTTACATGTGGAATTAGATATAGAGTTAAAATATGTATAATTGTTCTATTGTATATGCTGATATTTAAAACACAAATAGCACTTTGTTTAGAGGAAAAACAAATAATGATGATCAGGGGCGGACCGACCACTCGGGCAGATCAGTCATGGACCGAGTGCCCGAGGTCAGTCAGGGGGTCCGGCAGCACAGCCATACTTCTGGTGTGGAGATCAGAGTTATGCAGAGAAAGTCCAGTGGAAGGTTGCAGGGGTCCCATGATGACTCTCAGAGGCGTACCGTGGGGTTGGCGAAAACGGGGCTCTGCCAGGGGCACAGGCCGAGGGGGGCACAAGAGTCAAGTGTCAGTGTGACAGGTGATTTTTGCGGCCCCCCGCTCGGCCTGAGCCCCTGGCAGCCCAGGGAAGCGTGCGGCTCCATAAGGAAACCGCACACACAGTACACACTAGGAGGGGGAGTTCTGCGTAGGAACGCAGGGTGTCTCGTGACTACCCTGCGCTCAGTGTGAGAGTGCACCACCAGCGAGAGGCCGCCCCCCCTCCCTGCTCTAACAGGTAAAATGGCAAGGAGGGCGGCCATCAGAGAAACATGGGAGGAGGCATGGGGGAGAGAGTGACATGGGATGGGACACGGGGAGAGAGTGACATGGGAGGGGACATGGGGGAGAGAGTGACATGGGAGGGGGCATAGAGGAGAGAGAGGCATGTGAGAGGGCATGGGGGGAGAGAGACATGGGATGGGACATGGAGGAGAGAGAGACATGGGATGGGGACATGGATGAGAGAGAGAGAGACATGGGAGAGAGAGAGAGACATTGGATGGGGACATGGGGGAGAGAGACATTGGATGAGAACATGAGGGGGAGAGAGACATGGGATGAGGACATGAAGGGGAGAGAGACATGGGATGGGGACATGGGGGGGAGAGACATGGGATGGGGACATGGGAGGAGAGAGACATGGGGAAGAGAGACATGGGAGGGAGGCATGGGAAGAGAGACATGGGGGAGAGAGAGCCATGGGAGAGAGAGACATGGGAGAGAGAGACATGGAGAGAGAGAGAGAGACATGGGATGGGGGCCATGGGGAGACAGACATGGGGCCATGGGGATGGGGAGCCATGGGGAGACAGACATGGGGTGGGGGCCATTGGGAGACAGACATGGGGTGGGGACCATGGGGAGACAGACATGGGGTGGGGACCATGGGGAGACAGACATGGGATGGGGGCCATGGGGAGACAGACATGGAATGGGAGGCATGGGGAGAGAGAGAGGCATGGGAGGGGGGCATGGAGAAGAGAGGGACATGGGAGGGGGCATGGAGAAGAGAGAGAGATGGGATGGGGGCATGGAGGAGAGAGAGAGAAACATGGGAGGGGGCTTGGGGGACAGAGACATGGGAGGGAGCATGGGGGAGAGAGAGACATGGGAGGGGGCATGGAGGAGAGAGACATGGGATGGGGATATGGGAGGGAGAGAGACATGGGACATTTAATAGTAATATTTCTATAGTGTGACCAAGAATTACACTTGCTGGGCATGACGATACCAGCTTTCTAGATAAAAAGAATATATTGCTAATTTTGAGAAAACATGTTTTTTTAGGTATATTTCTGTTTTATTAAAGCATTTTGTTTTATAACAGAAAGAAAGAGATGCATCTGGTTAGTGCGGTGAAACACGCAGGTTTCTGGTTCAGAACATATCGTCATATAAAGTGAGATGCGCAGATCTCTCAGCAAGACATGGCATTTTAAGTTCGTATTTCGCCATTTCTGGATTAAGCGGGTGTCCTGTGTTACTGTGAGCTTTTCTGTTTCAGTTTGACCCGGTTACTACCAGCCGCTCTCGGTCCTTCCCCCTCTGTCCAATACGCCTCACAGGAGGCAACTGCCTATGCCCTCCAGTGTAGGACAAGTAACAGGTAATCAACTTCCCTAAGCTGTTTGGTCTGCAGGTCCACAGGGGCTTGTGCAGGGCACATCAGCGCCTGTGTGTCGCCCCCCTCCCTCTCCCCGATGCTCCCCTACGCCCTCGTTGTTTGCTCGTCTTCGTTGCAGCCGGCGATATTACGGGGTCCGCTGCCACAGATAAGCTATATATTCCCCCCACCTCTGCCCCACCCCGATCCGAAGGAAGCTGTCCCTCAGCTCCCTGTCGGTGTGATCCCCCCCCCTCCCGGGGATGTGTCGCTGGCAGTTGTGTTCTTCTTGTCGTGGCGGATGGTTCCGCTGGGCTTGGGATATTGGGGTTACACTGGGGCCCCGCAGGCCGGGGGACATGGGACGGGCGGGGATGGTTGCTGGTGTGGGCTGGATCGGCAGTTGCTGCCTTGGAGCTCATCTGTCCCACTCTTGGGTGGCCGACTGATCATCCCCGCGTAGGTGTGTGTCATAATACCCTTTATTCCCCTCCCCGTTCTGTGTGTCTACCTGTTGGGCATCGTCTGTCGGTCCCCCCTACTGCCCCTGTGTCAGTCTCGGTTGTGGTGCGTTCGGTAGACGGGATCCAGTGTGTCCAAGTCATCTTGTATGCCTGTGTCCTCCCCTCTGCCATTAAGGAGAGCTCCTCCAGCGCCCTGAGGTCCTCCATGCGCTGGTACCATAGGGTCAGAGGGGGTGCCGTCTGTTTTTTCCAGAATAGAGGGATTAGGCTTTTGGCTACATTAAGAATCCTTATTGCCAGGGATTTTTGGTACGCCGAATTGGGCATAGTGGTGTGGTTTAGGAGAAATGCTGCAGGGATCAGCGGCGGTGGGGTGTTTGAGAATTGTGCGATGATTTTGTGGATAGCCACTCAGTACAGCTTAATCTGTGGGCAGTCCCACCATAAGTGGATGAAAGTGCCCGCATCTCCTCCACATCTCCAACATCTGTCATCGACTGTAGGGTCTACGATGTGGGTGAGTTGTGGGGTGCGGTACCAGAGGGCCAGGACTTTGTAGGCTGTTTCCTGTGTCCCAGTCGACGGTGCGCAATGTAGCGAGAGAGTGCATATCTTGTCCCACTGGTCTTGTGTGAGAGTGGTACTCAGGGCTGCCTCCCATTTACTCATGAAGCTCTCCTCGACAGTAGGAGCATGCTGTATAGTGTGGACAGCCCCCTCACCATTGGGTCTGGGTCCATGCATTGTGATTCGAATTCCGTTAGTGGTCTTGATGTTACATTGCCGTGATAGACGGAAAGCACGTACTCGGTTAGTTGTTTGTATCGAAAACGCATCATGGACGGGGAAAACATGTTTTTTTAATAAAACGTTGTACTTCTTTACCTCAAAGAGTTACCACAATAATACCACAATACCACAATAACCAAGATGTTTAGGCCAAGATACTACAATAAAAAAGACTGATTCAGTGAGTGCTGGGAATTGACCAACAAGATACTGTAACGAGAATATACCCCTACACGCAGGATCCAGCTAAACAGAGGCAAATACAGAGGAGAGATACGTCTACCGGACCTTAGAATGGCCGGACTCGACGTATATGAGAGGAGACAGAGCCAGGAACAAACCGAGGTCAAGGGCACAGAGAGACAGCGTAAACTAGGACAAGCCGGGTCTGGTACACGGAAAACAGCAAGCCGGCAAACAGTACAGATAAGGATAAAGCGAAAACGAAGTCAGAATACGAAGCCAAAGTCAATACGAGAAAACACAACTGAACACCAAAAGCGCTAAAGGGAACTGAAACAGAAACCACGATAGGGCAACGAGCTAAGGGAAAAAGGTAAGTTAAATAGCTTTTAAACCAAAGTGATTGGCTCCTGTCACTTCCACACCCCTATAGGTAATTGTATAGGGAGTGTGGTATGACAGGAGCCAATGGGAGCCTTTTGGCAATTAGGCTCCCACTGTCTCTTTAAGAGCGCGCCCGAGACTCGCGGCGCGCTCTTAGTTTCAGGCGGGACACGTGACCGCTTCACGCGGTCACTGCCCGCCTTCCATCTAAAGTAGTCGGATGAGCCGCAGGACCGCGCGCGGCTTGAAGAGAGGACCGCGACCGGCCCCCGGTTAAGGTAAGTAACGCTACAGTACCCCCCCTGAGGACACGCCCCCCGGGCTGGTAGGACCAGGCCTGGCAGGAAAACGAGAATGGAAAGAGCGCACAAGACGGGGAGCATGGACAGCATCAGCCGAAATCCAACTGTGCTCCTCAGGTCCATAACCCTTCCAATGTACCAAGTACTGAAGTCGACCCCTAAGGAAACGAGAGTCAAGAACAGCAGACACTTCAAACTCCTCATGACCCTCCACCGAGATAGGAGGGGGAGGAGGAGTATGCCGAGTATAGCGGTTGCGTACGAAAGGTTTCAACAATGAGGTGTGAAAAACATTAGGAATACGTAGATTCTTAGGCAGGCCTAAGGCATAAGAAACAGGATTAATCTTATGTATAAATGATAAGGTCCAATGAAGCGGGGAGCCAATTTCATAGAAGGCACCCGGAGACGAATATTCCGCGTGGAAAGCAAAACCCTGTCCCCCACAACATAAGACGGAGCTGCTCTGCGATGCTTGTCAGCCTGAGCCTTCTGGCGAGTAGCAGAGTCCACCAAAGAACGCTGAACCTGCTCCCAAGTATTACGCAAACCAGCCAAATGCTCATCCAGAACTGGCATGCCCTGTGAGGAGAATGCAGCCGGAAGAAC